CATGTGCAATTCCCAGACCCAGTCAAGACGAAGTCTCACCATGGGAATGAGGGTGCAAAGGACCGAGCTGTAATGGCTGGAGTGACCTATCACTTGGGCAGGAAGGGTTATGCCCAGGACCACCCTCAAGTCGCTATTTTAAAAAAGGCACTTCCTTCCGTCAGTGCATTTGATCAGGAAGCAGTAGGACGCTAGGTCTGCAGGAAGCCCTGGAGGGCAGTCTCCTGTGAAGACCACCCCTCAGACTCACAGAGGACAGGCTGAGATACTTAGAGCTGGTTGAGGACACTCCTGGGGAGATAGTCATGGCTGTGAGCTCTTGTTGACGTACAGATCCACTCATTTATCACTGGGACCCCAACCTCCCCACGGAGGGAACCCTATTAGGACTCCAAGTACAGCAAAAATAAGGACAGTGGACAGAAATGAAGGAGAGTCCCCATGTAGTCGGGCCTGTGAGTGTGTGGTGAGCAGAGACTAGGTCCTCTGTTGGAGAGAGATAATTCAGGATACGGCCAAGTGCTGTCACAATAAATGCTAAGGGAAGGCAGAGAGGAATGGTATGTTAAGGAACCCAGGGACCTCGGATCCATAAACATAGCTCGAGAACAGAAAGTCTCCAAGGTGGGAGGGGAACATATCCAGCCCTGGATGGAGGCAGGAAATTCTTTGTGTTTGGGGCCCAGATGGGGTCGATAACATCTCAGATTATGGGGTATCAAGGCCCAGAAATCACCATTCTGGTAACTACAGGAGTCTGCTACAAACAATGAGAATGAACTGTAATTAAAATTGTTGCCCAGGCTTGGTGGCCTTCCATTCTAGAAGTCTTCTTATATGGGCACAGGGTGATTTCATGGACAGAGTGAAAGTGAACTTGGTCCTGAAAGTTTGACGAGAGGTCAATGGGTGAGCAGAAGAGCAATTCATCCATAGGTCAGTAGTGGTTCTAAGAATTGACATGGGGTTTTTAGCCATTCCTGATCCCCATTAGGGTCTCCTAGCACCCCTAAATGAAAATACATGTAAAAAAAAAAAAGTAAAAAAAAAAAGAAAATACATGTAGGCTTGAGCATGTTTTTGGTTTCAAGTGCCAATCATCTGTTCCCACATCCATCCCTAAGTAGTGACCTCATGAATTTCCTTCTACACAGGACATTTAGCGCTGTGTGTCACACTGACTGTGAGGGGCTGAGATCAGTCAGGCTCCCCTTCCCTGGGTCCCTATGGAAGAGGAAAAACAGGGAATACCTCAGGGCAGGAAATGGAGATATTAAGATTTATCAGGATCCATTGCTCGTTTTCCACCCTCTCTTGTTCTGAAATCCTTTTTTCTCTCTTCTCTCCCTCCTTCTTCCCTAATCACTTACTTACGAGAGAAAAAGTCTTTGTCTCTTGGATGGTCCCAGCACCTTCTGCCCCCATCCCCACTGCCCAGCCTGTGTAGCCTGGCCATGAGCCCCACAGGAGGAAGGCGTGCGAGTCTTTCAGATACTAGTGCTGATAGGAAAATTTTTCTGGGCAAGTGACAGTGGCTTGAGCAGGCCTTCCCCACAGGAACCTCACCCCCTACCAAGATGTTCTCCTGATGACCTGACCAGTTGGATGCTCCCCTTTCCCTCCTAATTTCTAAGTAAATCTCTAAAGGTCACAGGCTTGAGATTCCTCTCCTGGAGTGCTTCCTAAGGTGAGTCCAGCTGTGCCCCGGGGAATGGTGAAAACTTGGGGACCCCAGGCATCATGCCTGGCTTCTAAGTCTCTTCAATCAATAAGCACACTTTGCCCTGTACTGGTCTCACTTGTGGAGTTTGCCCCTGGGCTACCTTCTGCCCACAGGTGTCTTCAATGGGATGAAGTTTAGATGAGCCTTGAGACTAGAATAGGCAGACAGGTCCAGGCCCATGAGGAATTGCTTCAGTGCTTCCCATTCTCTGGACCCAGAAACTCTTCGGGACCCCCTTTAATTGGAATGGCCGTGTGTCCTAGTTTGCCAGGACAATCCTGGTTCACTTCATTTTTTCTTTTTAAGATTTTATTTATTTATTTGAGAGAGAGATGGAGAGTGTACATCTGCGAGGGAGAGGGACAAAGGGAGAAACAGACTCCCTGCTAAGCAGGGAGCCCGACATAGGGCTCGATCCCAGGACCCCAGGATCATGAGCTGCTTAACCTGCTGAGCCACCCAGGCACCTGCTAATTCACTTCTTTTGTCCCAGAATCCCATCTCTCACCCTCAGTAGTGTCCCTATTCGTGCACTACATGATACGATCACCTTGCATCTAACCTGTTGTTGCTCAGTTTCACCTGGGGGAAGGATGCATGGGATGCCTTGAATCGGTCCAGAAGGACCTACTTGGGTTCCAGAGAGAGGGGCAGAGGCAGAGGAGGTTAACTTCCTAGTGCTCTGAGCTGGATATTGGGGAGGTGGGGGTGCTGTCTGAAGGAGACAAGAAAAGAGCTGTACGGATAAGGGGAAGGAGGCTCTCCTTGGGTCAGGGTGTGCGGTGTGGGCTAGATGACGTTTGTAACTTTCTCCAGCTCTGTTATGTCTCCAGGCGTGGGAGGGTGGGGGTCATTCACCCTCCTGAGGACATTCCTTCATTCTTCAAGATTCACGTCCCTCACACTGGCAAGCCCCAGGCGTCCACCCGGGCATCTCCCCGCACATCCTCCCAGCTGCTAATTCCGCTGCTCAGCATGCCCCAGATGAGGACCACCAAGCCTGCAGACCCCGTTTCCCCCCTGTGTGGGGTTATCTTCTCCCCACCTCCCCCTCCATCTCCACCCTGCTCCTGCTCAGGCCCCTCACTGCTCTGCACCTACAAATACCCGTCCTCCAATGCCCTGTCCCAGGCCACGCCCTCTGGTCCACACAAAGCCCTCTTCTCTCTGGGGAGCTACTTGTCCCTTCAGCTGCCCCTCTCCCATCCCACCCTTGTGAGGAGGCAGCCCATGTGTCTAAAGCATGCAAGGCACGGCTCTTGCAGGTGCTGGTCTAGGGCCTAAACTCTGTCCCCTTTGGGGGGCTTTTTAGTCATTGTAAAAATAAATAAACAAGAAAAAAACTGAGCTGCAGTTTGAGAAATCTAGAAATAATTACGACTGATGGGAAGTTACAGGCACGTGATGGGTTCCCCAGGCCACCGCCGCCCTGGGCTGTTTCCTTTCCTGGCCTGTGGGAGCGGGGTCTGGAGAACCCCTCACATCCAGGTCCTGGACACTCAGTGCAGTGGGATGGATAGTGTCCACCTAGACTTCATGCCCACCCCGAACCTCAGAACAAAAGTGACCCAGTTTGGAAACAAGGTCTTTGCAGATGTACATGTCAAGGATCCCAGGATGAAATCCTTCTGAATTCAGGGTGTGTCCTAAATCCAATGACTCCCATCTTTTTTTAAAAATATTTTATTTATCTATTTGACAGAGAGAGACCCAGCGAGAGAGGGAACACAAGCAGGGGGAGTGGGAGAGGGAGAAGCAGGCTTCTTGCGGAGCAGGGAGCCCGATGCGGGGCTCAATCCCAGGACCCTGGGATCATGACCTGAGCCGAAGGCAGACACTTAATGACTGAGCCACCCAGGCACCCCTTCAATGACTCCCATCTTGATAAGGAAAAAATAAGGGAGAAATCAAGGCACAGGGACGCAGGAAGGTGACGTGGAGCCAGGCATACGGCCGGAGGGATGCTGCCACAAGCCAAGGACCACCAAGCAGAGAAGATTCTCCCCTGGAGCTTTTGAAGGGAGTGCGGCCCTGCTCGCACCTTGGTTTTGGGCTCCAGAACTGGGAGAGAATAAATTTCTTCAGCTTTAAACCATCAAGCTTGTGGTCCTTTGTCACTGCGTTGCTAAGGAACAAATACACCCTTCGGTCTGTTCCTGTGGGTCCTGCACGGGAAGTTGGGGGGTGGCCACTCCATGGTCCCTCGGGGACAGTCACACCATTCTGGCCACTACTTGGGACAAACTTCCCCAATTTCCATCTTCCTGAGAACGTGCCACGGTGTCACTGCTTACCAGTCATTTGATCTATGAACTGTGGCTTCCTCACCCACAGAAGAGGGAGGACACCTGCTTCCAGGGGCATGGTGGGGATGAATGGGGACAGCGCTGGTGCCAGGGCCCAGCCCCAAGTCGGGAACAAAGCAGGCCACCAACAAGGGACTCCACCTCCCCCATCCTTTCTTGGCTGTCAAACTTCCTTCTCACCCCTGACTTTCCTGCCTAAACGAGCCTATCTCTGGTCTCTCTCACCGGTCTGTGGGTCTGTGTCTTCTTTCCCCTGATTGCATCCCTTCCCTCCCCCGGTGCAGGGTTCTACTGCAGTGAATGTGACTTGCTTGGAGAGTTTACCCCGGTAAGATAACTGTCTCTGCCTCAGCATGTGCTCGACATGCTGCATTTGGGGTGGCCTGCTCTCTACCCCATCAAGGGAAGGGCTGCTCAGGTGCGACACCTCAGCCCCTTCCCCGTGCCTTCCCCAGGGCGTGACCCCGCAAGCCCCCCATCTGTGAAACCTCTGGGCTTCACTTAACGGTAGTTTCAGCTCTGTGCCTTCTTTAGGATTCTAACCTAGGTATGCAGAATAGAGCTAGATCTGCTGAAATCTCAAAACAAGATGAGACGGAGGCATTCAGAACAGACACAGATAAAACCTGAATGCATAATAAATGAAACCTGAGTCTGGAATGGAGAAATGACCAAGCATTCCAACCCAGAGGTTGCCCTGTCCTGGGCCCCGTGCTGAGGTGGGGTTAGGGCTCACCTCTGCTCATCCTTACGCAGGTGCTCCCCACTCCTTGCCCTTCGGACCAACCCTACACTCTAGGAGCCCAGAATGCCTGGGTATGGACCATGGAAGCCCATCCTCCATCAGGATGAACAGGAGCAAGCAGCCTTGCTTAGAAAGAAGGGTCAGTCCCTCCATATGCTGTAGGGGTGGGGCCTTCCTTAAATCTTCAAAGGACAGAACCTCATGGATACCCCCAAGAGACAACACGGCCCAGCAAGACACTTTTATTAAGTCTATTTCAGTTTCAGGGTTGAGGAGCTCAGTCTGCAGGAAAGCATAGGGAAGGGACAGATATCCCATCAGGAAAGAGATAAGAGGTGGAGAGAGAATAACTTTTAGAAACGCAGACTGGAAGCACGTCAAGGAGAATCTAGGGTGAGGATGATGAGCAACTCAGGATGCATTTTCAGAGCCGGTCTCAGGAAACCTTTCTCTTGACCTGCGGAAGAGAGGGCATTGTCAAGGTCCCAGGGGCCATGAATAGCAGGATGGGGCTCAGGGAGCCTGACTCTGGGCCTGATTTTGGGTATAGGTGGTCGACTCTCCCCATCCTCTGATGCAGCATCCTATAACAATCCCCATACTTTCTCACCAGTCTGGCAGTCCCATTATACTTTCCTTGAGAAATAGAATATATCAGGGCTAAGTCAGGCTCTGAGATCCCCTCATGCTCCATGCATGATGTTCTACCCTCTCCCTCCAGCCTGCCTGCCCCATCCTGCCCACCTCCTTACCTTGGCCATCAGCACCAGGGCGCTGACCAGCACGGCGTACAGGGCGGCCTTCCCCAGCAGGATCTCATAGAGGATGGTGGCGGACAGGATGCCCTGCTGATAGGACACTGCGGGCGGGAAGGGAGAGCGCACAGGGACCTGTGAGCAGGTGTCTCTGGCCTCTCCACCCCCCACCCCGGGGTCCATGGTTCTCCATGCCTGGCTTGCAGGACAAAACCATGGGAGACGGAGAACAAGCAGAGGAGAGGGTCACTTACCCGAAGTGAAGCCACAGTCTGAAAGAGAGAAGGGGGAGGGAATGGATGAGAGACCCCATCTTCTAAAGCAGACGGAAAGCTGCCAAGTTAGGCACACGTGAAGCTAAGGCAATACTATTTGTCAGCTGCGCTTCAGTGAAGAACCAGCCAAACACCAACACAAACACACTAAGTCAGCCTCCTGGTTAGCACGGACCCCCAGGCTCAGACCAGGCTTCTCGCAGACGCCTAGACCGTCTTTCTGGTGCTGTGCCCGCGGAGCTGCACCATCCCAGAACCCCATGCAATGTGGTGGCACAGAGGGGCTGGGGGCACCCCCGTCAGTGCTGAGCCATACAGGCTCGGACAGTGAGGCGACCCCAGCTGCAAGGCTCTGCTGGGCTGAGGATCTGGGGAGGAACCAGCCCCGAGGTGCCCGTTCACCCTCATGCTGGGCTTTAGTCTTCCCGCCCTGTCCTGTGTCTGCCTGGTCTTCTGCCTGGACCCCCCCCCCCGCCCCCCCCCCCCCCCTCCCGCCCCCGTTCTGTGCTCTAACTCACTCCCCGCCCAGCCCCCCAGGCCCCGCTCACCTGCTCTGCCCCAGGTCTCGTCACTGATGTTCTGGGTGATGGGTTTGGCCCGGCTGGTGTTTTCCCACTTGTCATCGTCCCCGAGCCCGTGGAACTGGACTTGGCAGCGGAAGTGGTTGCGAGGGTTGTGCCAGAAGGCAGAGGACACCCTCAGCCGGCTGCTCAGACAGTAGCTGGACTCATTCTCGTTGGGCCGCTCCTTGTAGGGCTGCGGGTCTGTGCTGACCCCATTCTGGACCTCCTTCCCGTTCACCCACCAGCTCAGCTCCACGTGGTCGGGGTAGAAGCCCGTGGCCAGGCACACGAGTGTGGCCTTCTGGGTGCGGGAGGTCTCTGCTTCTGATGGTTCAAACACTGTGACCGTGGGAGGTTTGACCTTTTCCAGGTTCTCTGCAAGGGAAGAGAGGTTGGGACCAGGGCTGGTCTGAGAGCTGTCTGGGTTTGGTGTGTATGTTTGTGTATGTGAGAAAGACAGAGACAGAGACAAAAATAAAGACAGAGAGAGGCAGAGATAAAGCTGGAAATGGAGTCCTCCTAAAGCGGAATTATGTAGTAGTAGGTCCTGTGTGTTTGGCCATCACTGTCCCCATCGCTCTGTAATTGTTCGTCTGCCCTGCCTGTCCTTTGCAGTCACCCTGTAGACATTCTGAGTAATGTCCCCTCATTGATGTTATTTGACTTCTTTTCCATCAGTAAAAGGCTCACGTGTCTACATTTCACTATATAACGTAGTAGTTATTCAAGGGCAGTGAGCACAGGATTGGAATCAGAATAATAGGATCCAAATCTTAAAACTGACTTTGCCCACCAGTGTGCCTTTGGGACAGTGTCTTCATTTCTCTGCATCATTTTTCCTGCTTGTGAAGGGAAAATCCTGACCCTGACCTTCCAGAGTGGCCATGGAGGTTAAGTGACATGAGCGTTCAGACAGCCTCTGTCCTCAGCCGGTGAATTGCTTCGAAATCGAAGAGGCTGAGGAGTAAAGGGGAATTGGGCAAAGGGGGTCGTTTGAGGGCTGGGGATTCTCTTCAGATGACAATCTACAAATGGCATATTGTTGTTCACTCAGGCGAGGGTACCCTTTTGTTTTATGGCGTGCTCATGAGAATGTGAGATTTTCTGACTTTCTTTGTGGTTTATGAGGTCCTCCCTCGCCATTCCTCTGCTTTGAGGTACCCCCTGAGGTTCCTCAGCTCAGAGAGCAATCTCTCCTTAGGTCAAATTCAGGGATTTGTCAACTTTCTTTGCGCCTTTGCTTCCAAATGTTATACTTTTTTTCTACCAGTCAGCTTCCTAAATAAGTATCTGAGATCATCAGAGCAACTTCTTGCTAGCAGCTGCTTTGATACAGTTTTTGTGCAAAGCCTCTCCTCTGCAGAGTCTTGGGTGAGGGCCCAGACCACCCTCTCTTGCTGGCTCCCTTCTTCTGAGTCTGCTGTCCATTCATTTTATCCTTCTCCTTTGCTTTCCACTGATTTTTTTTGTTGTTCATTTCTTAGCAATTCTGTTAAAATGAAAAATCTCCTTATGAGATTCTAGTTTAGAATGGAAGATGGAGAAAATGTCCTTCTGACACTTCACATTTCTCTGGATGGGCCCTAACTTCCGGGGCCAGCTTCATAAGTGTAGGACCCGCGTACAGGACCCTGTGCTTACAAAGGCCCCACCCTTGGCTTAAGGCCCATTGTCACCATCTTGAAATTCTAAATAATTTTTAACAAGAGACTGGCATTTTCATTTTGAGCTGGTCGGGCTTCCCATCCTGCCAGCTTCCCCTCCCTGCAACTCCTACTTGCTAACCCGGACGATGTCTCTAGGTCTTTACCAGAGTACACACCCTCACATCTGTACCGCCCAGCTCCATCAATCTCTCTGCTCAGCCTGGTGTCGTCACTCTTGTCTCAAAGACCCTGGCTCTGAAATTGGACCAGCTCTCCTGGGGCACTACTGAATGTACTCCTCTGGCCCCCACTCAGTCCTTCTTGCAAAATTAGTGATGTCCTTTGAATCATGTGTGATGCTTCCCTCGATGTTTATGGATGCAACGGGCAGGAAAAACAGGACGCCGTGACACTCTGAAGCCCCTGTCTACACAGCTCAGTGTGAGGGCAGGGTCAGTTTATCCTTCCATGTTTGTGAGTCCCCGTGGGGTGTGGGTGAGCTTGCCTATGTGGGTGTAAGTGTATGTACTAGTGAGCTTCTGTTTGTATATATGCTCTGTTTGTGGGTTGGATGGGCCTCAGGCAGAACTGTGAAGTTTATCTTTCCTGTTCCTGATCCACCGCTCACGCCTAGCCAGCCCTCCCCTCCATGATCCACATGCCAAATCCTGTCCCTCCTCGGGGCACTGGGCTCACCCTTTCCCCTTACTCCCCATTGACCACCAAGAGGAAGGGTGGAGAAGAGAAGGGCCAAATTATAACAATCCACCTTTCCTGCATACTCTACACGTAGGGTCTCCTGTTGGTCAGCCTCACAGCAACGATAAGTGGTAGGTATTGCTGATGACCCTGTACCATAGAGGGGACCGAACTTCACACAGATTCATTTGCCCAAGGTCATCTGATCATCAGCGAGCCAGTGACCGGGGCCCAGGTTTATCTGGCTCTAAAGTCTGGTCTTTTGCCCACCCCTGCTGATCAGAGGAATCTGGCATTTCCCCTGGACAGAGTTTAGGTGAGCCCCATTGGCTCCGGCTTAATGACAGTCTAAGGACAAATGGGGCTTGTTGTTATCAAATAATCCAGGTTAATGTACCAGTATCATGAGTTTCTTCCCCTCTCTGGCCTCAACATTCTCCTCACCAGGTGATGTTTGAGGTTCCTTTCCACATCTAGGAGCTTAGGATTCTCCTGGAAATTTTCCTCACCTCAAAAACAAAATATCTGCATTTTAATATACGTTTGAACCTCCTCCACCACCTGGGCTGTTCACGCTGGAATTCTTCGTGTGAGGTCCGAGATTTCAGGCTGGGGGGCAGAGGGAGACGTGGGGGGGGGGGCAGGGGCGAATGCATCCCAGCGGCTGAGGGTCCAGTCCAGCTCACGGGCAGGAATGGGTGCTGTAGACACACCTCAGGGGGCTCTCTGGCTTAGGAGAGCAAGGCAGGGGTATTAAATATGATTTTAAATGCTAAACAGTAAATCAACTAACCCTGCTTGTTTTTGACTCTTTTCTTCACTGACTCACGTTGATCTGGCCTCTATTCCTCTCCTGTTTCTCATTCCTTTTCTCCTCTGTTCAGCGGCCTCCCCTCCATCCACCTCCCCCAGGAGCCCGCCCGGCTGGGTGCCCGCCAGCCCCATGCTTGTCCTTGCTTTTCTCCTGCCCCTCGGGCTCGGTCCCCGCTTTCTCTAGCAGCTACACCCCTCCTCTCCTCCCCGCTGCCCCGGTTTTCCCTTCTCAGTCCTGTCCCCCAATCCAGCGGCTCTGCGTCCTCATCAGTGCTCTCGCGCCCCCCTCACCCTGCCCCTAAATACCTCAGGAACAGGAAAAGAGCCCCCACGGCCCCCGGGCCCTCCGCGCTCGTGCCCGGCCGGCGAGAACCCGGTCCCCGCCCCCTCGCCGGGCTGACCCCGCGGACCGACAGCCGGCCGCGCGCCCCAGCCCGGGCCCACCCGCGCCTTCTCCCGCCTCCGGGGCCGCGGGGGTAGACGCCCAAATCTCACCTATGACCGTGAGCCTGGTGCCGGCGCCGAAGTACTGCTCATAGGAGCACAGAGGCCCAGCCCCACACGCAAACCCCGCAGCGCCCCAGCCGCTTCCCGCTCGCGCTCGCAGTCCGGCCCCAGCGCGGGGAGCCCACCAGGGGCCGGGCGGGGCAAGAGCCCTGGGGCCGCCGCCTTCCCTCCCGACCCCGCGGCGCTCGCGGGCGGGTCCCGCGGCCACTCACCCACGACGGTCAGCCGGCTGCCGGCCCCGAAGGTCAGGGCAGAGGCTGTAAAGCACGGCCCCGCGCCCCCAGCCAAGAACCCGGCCGCGCCGCGCGCCGCGCTCACCTAGCACGGCCAGCCGGGTCCCCGCGCCGAAGTACTGGGTATTTTGGCTCACAGCCCCCCGGCGCAGCACAAAAACAGGCCCGCCATCCCCTGGCCCCACCGCGCTCCCCGGCGTCCCCGGGCACCCCGCGCTTACCTAGCACGGTCAGCCGGGTGCCCCTGCCGAAATACTGAGTTTCTGTACTCACAGCCCGGAGCCCCAGCGCAAAAATCCGGCGCTGCCCTCTCCTGCCAGCCCCGCTCCCTCGCGCACCCCGCACCCAGAACCGGGAGTCCCGGCCCAGGCGCCGAGCCCCGCCTCTAGCACAGCTTCCAGAAGCCGGGCAGCTGCCCACCTGTCTCCATCCCACCTCGCAGAGCGCTCAGCCCCCAGCTAACCTCCTTACCCAGCACCGTCAGCTTGGAACCGGCCCCAAAGTACAGCTGTCCCGTGTTTGCACAGCTCTGGGGACCCAGGCACAAACCCGCCTTCCCGACTAGGGGCCCAGGGAAGGGGCCAGCACCCACTCCTTGAGGGCCAAGGTCCTGGGGATGGTCCAGGCTGGGCAACCCACCCTCCTTCCCACCGGGAGCGGCTTTCTTACCTAGTACGGTGAGCCGGGTCCCTGGCCCAAAGTGCTGCTCCGCGTATTAGCACAGTGGGCAGGGGCTGCCAAGAATTTCTCCTCCTTCCTACTTCCCTTGACACAGGCTGGGGGTGCACTCTCCTGCTTCCTGGGCTTCTCTCATCCCACCTCCAGAGCTAGCTGGACATAGTAATGTAGATGCAACGGGAGATCATCTCCAATTTGCGGAGGAGAATCAACCTGGCTTGGGGACAATACAGTGGAGGTGGAAAATGAACGGGGATTGGTGATGGGGGTTTGGGCTGGAGTTGGGGTTTGTTCCGGGCTAGACCCTGTCTCTTACTACTTATAGGACCTGCAACCTCTCTGGCCTTATTTCCTTCATCTGAAAAATGGGGTAATATGTTTTACACAGTGTTGTTGTGAGTTCTTAATAAATAAACGCATGTGTAAGTACTTTTGTCAAGGGCAAGTTTTTATGAAAAATGCTGGATGATGATCCCCCCCTTTTTTTTAACACTGCAAAAATGGTCATGATGATCCCATTTTGATGCATTGGCCCTTCACGTTCCCGGAAAGCTGTCTGGGACCCAGGGACCAGCTCCAGAGACACCTCCCAGCCACTCCCCATTCAGGAGCTGTGTTTCCTGAGCTGGGTGGAGATATTTTCTGAGGCAGGGCTTTTTGTAAAAGCACCCCCTCTACCTGAATCATGGTGGCCCCCCAGCTCCCACAATGTTACAGCTGGATACAAAATGTTTCTTTCCCTCTGGTCCCCTCCCCCAACCACTGGGCAGAGGCAGGAAGTGCAGATGACAGAGGGTTTGATTGACTGGGGCTGGGAGCAAACTCAGAGTACATTTAAAGTGGAGAGGGGCTGGGGAAGGTCATGGTGCTCGTGGGGTGGGGGCAGGGCAGAGGCCCCATGGCAGAACAGTCTATGTCACCAGGTCTCCCCTCTGGGACTCACTGTGCCTACCTGCACAGACAGGCACTTATAGTGAGGTGGGGTGGGAGGGTTGAAGGGTGGATTCCATGGAGCAGGTGATAGCAGGGGGCATGGGGACAAGCAACCTCTATAATTCCCCACTGCTCCCTAAACGGAGTCCAAGCTCCTTATCCTTCATGCATCCCACACACTTCATGAACATCCCCTACGTGCATGAGTCCACCCCCCGAGGAGCACGCACCAGCCTACCTAATGTCTCATCCCTCCTGTCTCGGAACCTCGTCCCCGGCTAAGCACCCGCGAGTACCGGACCCCTTTGTTTCGGCTCTGGTTCATGTCTCTGACTGTCACAACCACCGCCTCACAGGGGTAATTAGACCAGTTCTTTCTTTGAAGAGTTTGCCACCCTGATGATCTCAGTGGGAAGTTGAGTGCTAGCCTCTGACTGCATTTTAGTAGACAGCTCACATTGCTATTGGAAAGCATCACTTTGTATTTCCACCGTTTCTATTCATGAATGACCCCCTCGTGAACAGGTAGGCTCCCTGGGTGGGGACTGTGACATGGATCTCTTTATTTTCTTGAAGGTGAATAGCAGAACATTGCAATGATGTGTGCTCGATGAGTGGGTTAGCGCACGCGTGCATGTATGTGAATATATATAGACATATACGTGTGTGTGTTGTAGAAGTGTGCACACACATGTGAATGCCTCATGCATTGCAATGGAGAGAGAAAGTCATGTGTTACAGTCCCATGAGTGAGAGAGTAGATGGCTAGCTAGTTCAGGCAAGGAAGCGCCTGAGAAGGCTTCTTGCCGGGGAAGATGTTGGGGCTAAATCTTCAAGAATAAGTAGGAGTTGGAGTGCTTTGTGCCTCCAGGTGATGGAGTGCAAAATAGCCTGAGAGCAGGCGGCTCCGGGACGCAGGGTGAGAAGAGCGGGGTATGCATGGAGTGAGGAAGCAGAGGACCACTGCCTAGAAGCCATCCTCAGGACTGTGCCCCGCATCACCACGGTGACAGTGAGACAACTGAAATGCTCTTAGAGGATTTCTAGAAATAGCAATAGGGCTGATTCTTGGTTTTGGCGACCTTTATTTTCTATCCTTCCAGGAGTGATCATTTTCACACCCATGTAATTTACTAGAGAGAAACTTATAAACAGATCTGTGACTTAAACGGGAAGACACATGTGCTACTTGAGAATCCATCTCCAAGTCAGCGCCTTCTCTTCTCGGCCACCAAGACTGCTTGGTGACAAACGAAAACAGTAGTGTACTCAGGGAGACAGCTGAAATGAAAGGGGTGATAGGTATGAAAGCAAGCTTCTTTTTTTTTTTTAAGATTTTATTTATTACAGAGAGGGAGAGAGCATGAGAGGGGGGAGGGTCAGAGGGAGAAGTAGGCTCCCCACTGAGCAGGGAGCCCGACGTGGGGCTCGATCCCAGGCCCCGGGGATCATGACCTGAGCTGAAGGCAGACGCTTAACCGACTGAGCCACTGAGTACATGACCAGTTGGCGGGAGACACACTTGTGTAGGTGGACTCTTCCTCAGAGCACCTTCGTCCAGGTAGGACAGAAAGTTCTTACAGGAAACGTCACCAGTTTTTCTGGGCTATTCCTGAGCAAGCCTCTTCAATCCCAGCACCCCTGTTCACATCTACTCAAGTTACCCTGACAGAGAGGAGCGGGGTTGCCCCAGGCTGGGTCCCTCAGCCCTGGTACCGGAGGGACCTGCTCTTTCCTTGAAAACCTCTTGTTTCTAGCCTGACTGGAGTCACATGGGAGGTCAGCCATGGGCAGAAGAGATATCCAGACATCACAAGGCAGAGTCAAGCCAGAACAGGCCATTTTTATTGATTCAGTCAATTTGGTCAGGCTAGGGTCCCCCCTGGGTTAGGGAGATTTGGGTCATGAGCGTCCAGGTGTGCATGAACATAGGGGGTAGCTATTGGGGTGAACAGAGAGATGAAAACAGCTCTTGAGAAGCACCGGCTAGAAGTGGAGAAAGGAGAATCCATACTGGGGCAATAGAAGCTGGAAGGTCCTAGCTCTGCCTCTGAGCTAGTTTCAGGAACCCTTTCTCTTGCCCTGAAGAAGAGAAGGTTTCAGGGGTTAGCAGGAGTCAGGAGTGATAGGGATGGAGAGGAAGTAGGATGGTCCGCTGACAAGATGAATGGTAGTTCTCTTTACCATGTCCATTGGGTTTTCATGTGACCCCAGCTTCTCCTTCTCTGCCCGGCTCTCCCACTGTGATCCCAGAGGTACAGTGTGTCTTCTGAGGCATGTGGGTGGACCTCCGTCTTCTTCTACTGCCCACCCCTGGCCCAAGCAAGGTCTCTTGCTACTCCCAGCTCTGAGTTGCTATGTTTTAAGTGTCCCCTCCAGGGCCCCATCCTGCCCACCTCCTTACCTTGGCCATCAGCACCAGGGCGCTGACCAGCACGGCGTACAGGGCGGCCTTCCCCAGCAGGATCTCATAGAGGATGGTGGCGGACAGGATGCCCTGCTGATAGGACACTGCGGGCGGGAAGGGAGAGCGCACAGGGACCTGTGAGCAGGTGTCTCTGGCCTCTCCACCCCCCACCCCGGGGTCCATGGTTCTCCATGCCTGGCTTGCAGGACAAAACCATGGGAGACGGAGAACAAGCAGAGGAGAGGGTCACTTACCCGAAGTGAAGCCACAGTCTGAAAGAGAGAAGGGGGAGGGAATGGATGAGAGACCCCATCTTCTAAAGCAGACGGAAAGCTGCCAAGTTAGGCACACGTGAAGCTAAGGCAATACTATTTGTCAGCTGCGCTTCAGTGAAGAACCAGCCAAACACCAACACAAACACACTAAGTCAGCCTCCTGGTTAGCACGGACCCCCAGGCTCAGACCAGGCTTCTCGCAGACGCCTAGACCGTCTTTCTGGTGCTGTGCCCGCGGAGCTGCACCATCCCAGAACCCCATGCAATGTGGTGGCACAGAGGGGCTGGGGGCACCCCCGTCAGTGCTGAGCCATACAGGCTCGGACAGTGAGGCGACCCCAGCTGCAAGGCTCTGCTGGGCTGAGGATCTGGGGAGGAACCAGCCCCGAGGTGCCCGTTCACCCTCATGCTGGGCTTTAGTCTTCCCGCCCTGTCCTGTGTCTGCCTGGTCTTCTGCCTGGACCCCCCCCCCCGCCCCCCCCCCCCCCCTCCCGCCCCCGTTCTGTGCTCTAACTCACTCCCCGCCCAGCCCCCCAGGCCCCGCTCACCTGCTCTGCCCCAGGTCTCGTCACTGATGTTCTGGGTGATGGGTTTGGCCCGGCTGGTGTTTTCCCACTTGTCATCGTCCCCGAGCCCGTGGAACTGGACTTGGCAGCGGAAGTGGTTGCGAGGGTTGTGCCAGAAGGCAGAGGACACCCTCAGCCGGCTGCTCAGACAGTAGCTGGACTCATTCTCGTTGGGCCGCTCCTTGTAGGGCTGCGGGTCTGTGCTGACCCCATTCTGGACCTCCTTCCCGTTCACCCACCAGCTCAGCTCCACGTGGTCGGGGTAGAAGCCCGTGGCCAGGCACACGAGTGTGGCCTTCTGGGTGCGGGAGGTCTCTGCTTCTGATGGTTCAAACACTGTGACCGTGGGAGGTTTGACCTTTTCCAGGTTCTCTGCAAGGGAAGAGAGGTTGGGACCAGGGCTGGTCTGAGAGCTGTCTGGGTTTGGTGTGTATATGTGTGTGTATGTGTGTGAGAGAGAGAGAGACAGAGACAGAGACAGAGACAGAGGCAGAGGCAGAGGCAGAGGCAGAGGCAGATACAGAAATAAAGAAAGAGAGAGGCAGAGATAAAGCTGGAAATGGAGTCCTCCTAAGCGGAATTATGTAGTAGTAGGTCCTGTGTGTTTGGGGGTCACTGTTCTGTTCTATTCTCCCTCAGCTTTGCCACTTCTCTCGGTTACCCCATGGATGCATACTGCTGACTATCTCTTTCATCCCCTAAGGCAGCAGTGTGTCCTGGTTTCTTTGGCTTTCTTGGCAGAGTGTCTTTCTCAAGGCCTTGTTCCGTATCTATCAAAAGAGTCTATCTGTTTTTCTTCCTCATTCAAAGCCCTCTTCAGTGAGTGACTATCTATTCTTTCAGACTTAGAAGCAGCTATGGCAGAGTCAAATGAGCCTGGTATTTGAGGCTGAGGATTCTCACCAGCAACATGATCCCAGGAACCCAATCAACTTTTCCTAATTATCAGTTTCCTTTTGTACAAAGCGTATGAGTATCTGTTTGGGTGATAGCACACGTGAGAATTAGGCTTTGTTGCCCGGAGGAAATGCTGTCCCATTGCATCTGACTATACTTTTTTCTAAATGCTTTTTCCAACTCACTTTTTTCCCTTTTCTTTCGTGTGTGTGTGTGTGTGTGTGTGTGTGGGTGGGTGGGTGTTAAACACGTAACCTGCTTTGAGGAGCCAAGAAGCCTCTGGCTATTATGCTATCAGATGTTTCACATTTATTCCATTTACACTGGGGCACACGGGTGTGTGGTAGCTTGCCCAGGGTGGCTGTAATCCCATGAAAGATACTGCTCATGGGCTGAATGCTTTTTTCCTTCCAGCGCCCAGCAAGGCTCCCTGCCAACTTTGGAAATGCTAGTTCACGGCTGAACTTGCTGGGTGTGAACAAATTCCAAAGTCCAAGGACCATGTCGTCAGAGTGCTCATGTTGCAAAGTCCTAGGCCACTTTTCATGCCTGACACATAGGAGAGAATTTCTGGAGTTGTCGGAAGGCCAGGCCTCATGGGAAGACACAGGGGAATGAGAGAAAGCACATCCATCTCCCACCTTCCCGTCTTTTTACCGGAATGGACTGTGCCCGCTATTTGGGTCTATACTGACCATTGGGATGGCTTTTTGGAGCAGAACTGTGGGAAACCCAGATGTCTCCACTTTATCCACATTGGGAAGTGTTTTTAATGGGAAAACTGAGAGACGGTTTGGGAAAAAGGCCAAAGTCTGGGACACAGTGACGATAAACAACAGGAACGAAAAGGATGGCCCTGATAAGCCGAGCCTTTTACAAAGATTTCCATATAAGTTAGCCCCTAACAATTTAACACCGCAAGGGGCTGGCACAATTATCCCCATTTTATACATCCCAGAGATGCTGAGATTTCCACTTTCCAATTGCTCGAGCACCCCCAGCCTTGTCCCATGAGCCCGGAGTTCTGGGCATTTTGAACCCCAGTAATTTGTACTTTCTAATTGTTATCACGTTCACTGGCATGAGCCCCCATCTGCAGGATAAAGTCTGTTCCAGCCAACCAATCTGGTAGGACCAAGTGTCCCATTCCTCTGGCCTTGTCTCTATGCCCAGCACAGACCCATCCTTCCATGCCCGGTCCTCCGCCTGTCCGCTTCCTCCCCGAGCACGCTAACGGTGTGTTAATATTTCATGATGGGCCCCTTACCCTACCAGCCCAGCATAGATCCTGAGGTTTGAGAAAATGGAGCCTCCTGCCTATTTTCTCTTTTTTATACCTTATCTGTTACTAAGATGGCTTAAGTTTCCAGTTTTATCTCCTCTGATCCTGCCAAGCACCGTGTCCCTCAGACACCCATTGCAGCTCTCATGATACTGTGACATGAACTTCTGCCCTCAGGGCTCAGAAACACCCCTCAAACAGCCCAGTCTCACCATTGTGTCCCCCCACTGCCTCCTGAGCCCTAGATCACTTCAGGAAGACACAAGATGGATCTTTGGAGGCTAGTCAGGACAGAGAAGGAAGACGACAGAGGCAAGCACAGAGTTCTGAGCAGGTGGTAGATATTGGAAGGACTTTAACACAGAAGACAGACCAACTCAGCAAAATGGAGTCAATGGTGAAGGCTTGGAGATAGTATAGGAGGGAAAATGGAGAAGATCTGAATAAAAAAAAGAAGGGGGGGAAGTAAAACAACAGACTCCTAAAACGGGAGAGATGAGAGGAGTCCCAGAGAACAATGAGGAGCAGAGCAAGAACATACAAAGCCAAAGAATAAGCTGGAGCCCTACACCCGTGGGTCTGCAATCAGCACGAGAAGCTCTGGGAGGGAGGGGGGGGGCTCTGAGTCCTATCCTTACACCCCTGTCCCTCCTCCTGGACTGATCGGTCATGCATAGGCACCCCCAGCCAAGAGTGCAGCCCCATACCTGTCACGGTGAGCCTGGTGCCCATCCCAAAGTAGAGGGGCGAGTTATAGGAACACAGCTGCAGGCAGCCGTGGTAAAACCCACAGAGAGCTCCTGCCAGAGGGCAAGTCCTCGCTCCCAGGGACTGGGCTCTACCACCCTCTCCTCCTGGATGCATGGCTCTGGACCAGAGGGGTCCCATTAGGAGAAAGGTCCAAGCATACTATGGGGAAAGAGGAGCAGGCTTAGAAGGGGCACAGACACACACACAAGAAGGAAGGCTGAACCAAGGAAAGAGTAAGGAGGAAACATTAAGGACTGAAGACTCAGGGAGGAAAAATAGAGGGACCCACCAAGACACACCAAGAGGAATGGCAGCCACAGCTCCTTGGAAGCTCCCCAGGGCTAAGAGAGTTGACTTGACGCCCCCCCGCCCCCCGCCGACAACCAAGGCTGGGAGGAGAGACGGGGACCCTGTGTCCAAGGGACAATGGCTCCACACCCCACCCAGTCCTGCTCCTTACCTAGGACAGAGAGTTGAGTGCCAACTCCAAAGTGCTGTGCCTGGTTGCTCCACAGCACAGGGAGAGAGTGACAAACCCCAGGATTGCTCTCCGGAGCCTTTGCTTCCAGAAGCCAGCTTCCCTCCAAATTTCTAGGGACTCAGCACCTCCTCTGCTCACCTACACTCTCTGAGCCTTTTCCCTGCTGTGTCTCAGGAGTACTCCTGGGACTGCCCTCTTCCAACACACTACCCCCAGAGCAGCCTCATACTTACCCAAGATAGAGAGCTTGGTTCCACTTGCGAAATACAGTTCTTCATTGTTACACAACACTCCAGGCTGGTGGGAAAACTGCCCTTGGCTGCATCCAGGTCCTGCCTTCCCAGGTGCACCTGCCTGCTCTCCTCTCCCTTTCCCGCCTTCCCAGGTGCACCTGCCTGCTCTCCTCTCCCTTTCCCGCCTTCCCAGGTG